GTAGAGTTTTTAAATGTTGGTAGACTTTTCTTGGTAGAGTTTTGACGATGAGATGTAGATTTATTATGTTTCGGTAGATTTGTTGTTATGAATGGCAGACTTGTCAAAAGTTTTGGTAGACTTGTTAACAAAAGCGTTGACTTTCTCGCATAGTTGACTTTTTCGGTAGATTTATTGACAATGAAGTAGATTTATTTTCTGATTTGATAGACTTATTTCCTTTAGCGGTAGATTTATGTGGAAAAAGTTGTCAATACGTGCGGTAGATATATCTGTTTAATGGTAGAGTTATATATAGTTGGTAGAGTTTTCGCTATTGTAGTAGATTTGTTTGACTTGTGGTAGACTTATTTCACTTAAAATTCATTCTGGTGAGTGGTAGATTATATGTTACATGAGGTAGACTTACAAACTGTTGGTAGATTTATTTGTTTTGTGGTAGATTTGTTTGTTTTGTGGTAGACTTATATTTTAAATAAATTTCATTCTGATTTGTGGTAGATTAATAATGACATGAAGTAGACTTACAAGATGTTGGTAGATTTGTTTGTATGTTTGGTAGAGTTTATGTAATCTGGTAGACTTATCGGCCGTATGGTAGACTTTGTGAAATAGCAATGTGGTAGATTAATTAAGTTTGGTATTTACAGAGTTAACCTTGATCTGGTAGACATATGACATGCTTATGGTAGACTTGTTTATATGGTAGAGTTATTTGTCATGCTTGAGGTAGACTTAGTAGTTAATGTTTGGCAGACATTTGACTTTATGGAGTAAAATTACTTTTTTGTCCTAAAAGAATTGTTCTATCTACAAAAAAACCTATTGTTTGGTAGACTTATGGTTGCAGTGTTGTACGTCTTGCAATTTTCGTCCATATGGTAGACTTATGGTAACGGTAACCATAAACCGTTACCAACGAACCGTCGCATCAATTTAGAGAACTTCTCTTGATTCATTTCCCAACGAACAGTCGCATTGATTTCGAGAGCTTCTCTTGACTCGAGTTCTCTTGTGAGTTCTCTAAATCGAGACGATTCGAGTTCTTGTGAGTTCTCTATAAATACCACAACCGAGACGATTCATTTCCCATCCCGATTTTCCTATGGCGAATCTCGAGTCGCTTCCTTCTGATCTTTTGTACGAGATATTGTTAAAAATATCTTCAAACTCGTATGCGGATCTTTGTCTTGCAAAAGTTTCGTCGAAAACACTTAACAACATCTCTAACGAAGCGGGTTTTCTTAGGAATGTTGATTTAATCAACATTATCTTGCCATGGAAGTGGGATGTTCATGGAAGGGTCGGTGCATTCTTCAGTCGGTGCTTGGCGGCAGGAAATCCATCCGCCCAATTGCGAAGAGGTTTATCGCTGATTTTCTTCGAACATAGCCTCCAAGCAGGGTGTGATTTCATTAAAATGGCATCAGACAATGGATTTCTCATGGGTAAGTACTGCCACACTATGTTACATCTAACCATGGATGGCACATCAGAGGTATTCAACTCTGTTAAAGCTCTCTCCCGGGAAGATTCAAAGAAAATGAGATTGACAATGGAAAAGATCTTCATGCCTGCGTTCAATTTCCAGAAGCCCGAGGAACTGGTGGAAATGGTTTTCCAGGCTTATAAAAAGTCTTTAAGTACAAGGATTTGTGGTTCTCTCAAAGTACCAGACATGCAATGGATGGGAGATGAATACCTACTAGAGACGTATGGGGATCAACTTTGTGAATCCTGCTTCTGGAAATTGGAATGTGCCAATTTCTGGTAGGTAGTACCGTCGTTTGCTATGGATTGGCCACGTTGATTGCATCAGTAGTTGTACTTTCATGTTTGTTGAAAGACTTCTGTTAAGTAGATTTGTTTTTATTATGTAGTAGATTTATATGAAAGTTATGTTGTGTTATTTATGTTGTGTTAAGTAGATTTATGTGCTATTCATTTCGAAAGCTATTAATTATAACAAATCTACCAACAATATAATATAAGTCTACCATTCGTTCGACAGTAATTGGGAACATGACAAGTCTTTTACAACAAATCTACCAACAATATAATATAAGTCTACCATTCTACTTAATATAAATCTACTAAACATAAGGAAACGGACTTGTACTTAACATATACGCAATGGCTGCAAACACGAACAGCAACGCCAGCATCAAGTAGTGATCACCTCTGGCGTTTGCTCCATCATCCAAACAAAGTCG